AGATTACAAACTGCAAAATGTACAGAATCCATAAACTGCTGGAGATGCTGCCTTTGCACTTTATTATAGGTGGAGAAATATAAGAGAAAACTTAAACATAGATGTGAAAGTAAGAGAATGTTAGATACTGCAGCTGCTAGAAGGTTGTGTTGGTACTGATTTCAGTTGGTAAGGATGACGCTTTAACAGGGATCTGAAGAAAAAAAACCCAACACTGCTACGTAGGGAACAGACTATTTCCAACACTTCACTGGGCCTGATGTTAAAAAAAGATATAAACAATGATAGAGTTACACTTTGATTTTTAACTCTAGGAAACTCAAGAATACCCTCCCGAACGACAAAAGTTTTAACAAGGAAAAGCGCCGGAGTGGACAACACTTTGTCCGCAGGAGCCACGCTCCCAGCAATGAAACTACTGCCCCTCTTTGGGGGTGGTTTTATTTTGTTGCCAGGAGAACTCTCTCCCGGTGACAAAGAGTGGCTACACTGCACACTAACAACGGCACGGCTACACCACCACAGGCTCACTGTTGTAAGGTGCACAGTGTAGCCATAGCCATAGCCTGAGTGTCCGCAGATGCTCATGATACAGCTTAGTGGAAGAGATTGTTTATGACCCTCAGTTTTGCTTCAGTGGGTATAATCCTGCCAGGTGCTGAGTGCTCTCAACTCTAACTTAATCCAGTGGGAGGTAAAGGTACTTATTATGCCTCAAGAGGTATTCAGTGCCTCACAAGATCACAACCCTACTGAAGAAGCTTCCAAATATAAAGCAATGTTCATTCACATAAGTATACATGGCAGAATTTGGTTTTATATTTTTATAATTTTGACAGATATCAGTTATTTTAAAGCATTTTTTTATTTTTATTGATGTAAATGTTCACAGTTGTGGGAGATTATGGGAGGGGTTTTCTGCGGAAATTTTCTGCGGAAAAGGACCTAGGGGTGACAGTGGACGAGAAGCTGGATATGAGTCAGCAGTGTGCCCTTGTTGCCAAGAAGGCCAATGGCATTTTGGGATGTATAAGTAGGGGCATAGCGAGCAGATCGAGGGACGTGATCGTTCCCCTCTATTCAACATTGGTGAGGCCTCATCTGGAGTACTGTGTCCAGTTTTGGGCCCCACACTTCAAGAAGGATGTGGATAAATTGGAGAGAGTCCAGCGAAGGGCAACAAAAATGATTAGGGGTCTGGAACACATGAGTTATGAGGAGAGGCTGAGGGAGCTGGGATTGTTTAGCCTGCAGAAGAGAAGAATGAGGGGGGATTTGATAGCTGTTTTCAACTACCTGAAAGGGGGTTCCAAAGAGGATGGCTCTAGACTGTTCTCAATGGTATCAGATGACAGAACGAGGAGTAATGGTCTCAAGCTGCAGTGGGGGAGGTTTAGATTGGATATTGGGAAAAACTTTTTCACTATGAGGGTGGTGAAACACTGGAATGCGTTACCTAGGGAGGTGGTAGAATCTCCTTCCTTAGAGGTTTTTAAGGTCAGGCTTGACAAAGCCCTGGCTGGGATGATTTAACTGGGAATTGGTCCTGCTTTGAGCAGGGGGTTGGACTAGATGACCTTCTGGGGTCCCTTGCAACCCTTATATTCTATGATTCTATGATTCTATGGGTCTTAAATGACAGTAGACACTGAATTTCAAAAAGTTAAAGATTTATAACTGTTAAAACACAAATTGTTAATGTCACATATCAAAGTATAGTATAGTAAATATCCTTAAATCAAACTAATAAATTTGCAAGCAGCAGTTTTCTTACTTTGGCAGCCTGTAAATTTGTATGATTATCAGTGGAAATATTTTGTCTATTTGTGTAAGGTGAAATTGATGTTGAACAACATTTACAGATAAAAATCTAATCCTTCTAAGCCTACCTATGATTAACTCTGCAGAGGTTTTGTGATAGTTATTATGCAAGGCGGTAAGGGGGGGGGAAGTATGGGCCCAATTCTCTTCTCAAACCAGTTTTACATCAGTGTCATTCTATTGACTTCAATAGAATTACTCCTGATTTTGAATGCGAATATATAATATATGCTCCTGCCAGAGAGATGTACAGAACAGTTTATTTGGAAATTGTAGACCTTTAAAAATGAAGGTAAATGATGGTCCAAAACTAATGCACCTATTTTTTTGTAAAACTGGCCCAGACCTTGTTCCTGCTGAAGTTAATAACCAAACTTGCATGACTTGCCTATCTTGTCATGCCAATATCTAATTGAAATTGTGTGGAATCCCATATTATTTTCACAGAACCAGCAAAGGAGTAATTTGTGATTAGAATCTTTGCCAGAAGAATAATCCCCATGGCTATGGTTCTGCTTTAAAAAATATAATGGGCTTGAAGAGGACTGAATGGAAACTAGGTATTAAAACTGGGCTCTTTGCTGAACAGGCCTGGATTAAATAGAAAATTCTATTTGATACACTGTTGTATTGGTTATTGTGTTTTATACTTTTCGATTATAGTAGGTCAACAAAGTGTGCACTAAGCCGTTTCTGTTTTGTTAACACATGCTTTTCCTTTGGGATTTGAAATGCAGTGGAAACTGGTCAGAAGCAGTTTAAGGGTCTGAGGACAATCTGTTGCTTAATGGAGGTAATCCTTTAAGAAAGATGATGCAGAACACTGGTTTTTTGCACTCCTGTATGTGCATTCCTAAGAGGCTACCTAAAAATGGGTGGTCTCTTGTATAGGTGTCATTGTATTAGAACTGGAGCGTAGTTCTAGATAGTGCAAGTGACATAGCCTGAACAGCAGAATTTGTGCAAAATGAATGTATATACTCAATGGATTTAATGTAAAGCCCCCCAAAACACATATCCTTTTGCTGAAACATAAATGGGTTTTTTTGGTCTTTGATTTGTACATATTCTTAAAATATTGAATTATTTTAATTAACTTTTCCCCCTAGGTGAAAATTGGAAGCAGTTTTGAGCTTTTGGGTGTACATCTTGGACTGGATAACTTAAAGATGCCTTTTTGTTAGGGCTTGACTTCTTAGATTGATAACATTTTAGTGACCTTTTAGTAGCATTGTTATATATGACGGTACTTTGAAACAGCTGTTTAGATCTGACATTTTTTTTCCTGTTCGGAAAAATATTTGAGTGAGCAGTGGATTAATTTCTCAATAGACTGATACTTCCCCCCATTGTTTCCCAGGAATTACCAGTGTGTGTTTCACTTATCTGAAAAGTTTGCCAATCGGATGGTGAGGGTGCAAGCTTAGTGCTAGAGACTCATGCTGAGCTTTTTGGTTCTGCAGCAAGAGTTGCCAGACAATCTGCAGGTTAAAATGCTAGACCTTACTGGTTAATTCTCGTACAAAGAAAGCAGACATTATAATCATGAATGGACACCCTCAAAGGATTCGGAGTACAATCTCCAAAAAGAGATAAAGACTCAAAAGTGAGCAACCTGTTTTTTGCTTTGAATACAGAAACCATTTAAAGGCCACTGTCAAATGGGCTAGGGCGGCACAACTTTTCCTTTTAATTTGAACATTCCTCTGCAGTGCTGGGAAGCACAAACACTCCAGCAGTGTATTAGTGCATGAGAATCAGGAGGGGAAGTGGAGAAGAAATAAAAGAAAGCCATTTCCCCTTTCCCTGTCTGAAGTGCAAAGCGTAAAAACCACATGTTTTAATGCTCTGAAGTTACTGGGGGAAACAGGGAAGAAGCCTGCTTTTTCCAGCTAAATTCTTCTGAATCTTGTCTCTATTCCTTTAAAAGTATTAGTCATTTAAACTAGCATCATCTTCTCTAAACATCCTGATCCCGATGGAGGCGGACTAGAAGATTAAGGAGACCTAAGCAGCATTTTTGAAAGGACTTCTACAAAGCCAAGAATGACTGTGAAAATATGAAACAGCGGCTCAGCGCAATGTGCCTGCCAGAACCTTGGAGGCGCTCTTTAGTAAATCTGTCCGCCTGAGATGCAATCATTCACATGAGATTAGCATAAACCCTCATCCTTTTTACCGCTCGGCGAGTCCTTCTGAGCAGTCACTACAAGATGGGATAAACTCATGCATGGCCATAGCTTTGGGCTTGTCTCCACGTGGCATTGCTCCCGATTCATTCCATGTGTGGGCACCCTTAGCCCAGAACAGAGTGCCTTGTTCCTGGTTAGTTTAAAGCAAGTTACTCCCGGCTTGTTTGATACTTGCAAGGCACATTTCGCGGCTTGTTCCTGCCTGTCAGGGTGGTTACACAGCTGCCAATCGAGCAAACAGCTGCGGAACCTGGAGAGGCTGTTCTCGGGTTCGCATCCCCGTGCTGAAGACACCCGGCCACCCCCGCCGCCAGGGGAGGAAAACCTCCCTGCAGCAGAAGACTTTCGGAGGGAACAGACTTTGTCCTGTCAATCAACCAGGGGACTCCCCGCCCACTCTGGAGTTCGAAGGCAGAATTCCCTCCTACTCACGTCACTCAAAAGGGAATCCCCGCCCCTCACCTCTCCGCTCCTCGTTCCAGGGAAGGGAACCCCCGCCTATTCTGTCACTCACGCGGAGGGGAATCCCCGCCCACGGCGGCGTTCCGGAGGGGCTCTCTGCGTGGGAGGCGGGGTTCAACAGGCTGCCGGGGGACTGGGGTTGCGGGGGGTCTCCCCCCGGCTGAAGCGCTGCCTGGGGCTAAGTGGGGAGCAGCAGCAGGCGGTGTCCCCCCCCCACACGTGCTGTCCTTGCTTGCGCGGCGTGGGGAGCTGGCTGGGGGCTTGCAGGGAGCCCCGCTGGCTTGCTCCTGCAGCGGGGACCCGCAGGCTGCGTGACCTGCCCCAGCTACGGGGGGCGGTGGCGGCGGTGCTGGGGGGAAGATCCCCGGGCTGCTGAAGGGGACGCCGACTTTGCCCCGCCCCCCATTCGTGCCATCTGGGCCCGGCGGGGGGGGGGGGGCTTCTGCAGCCCCTGGCCGAGCCCAGCCGCTGGGCAGGGAGTCCCCTGGCCCATCTCCCGCGGGGGCGCCCGCTGCACGGTCAGCTCCGTCCGGCGCAGCCCTCCCCTGGGGGCCCGCGGCTTTGGCCCCGCGCTGGGGAGCCGGGCTTCGTAGCTCGCTGCACAGGAGCGCATTTCAGCTGCGGGAACTTGTCCGCCCGGGCGGGGAGGGCGCCGGGGGGGGCCCAGTCAAGGTATAAATAGACGCCGCCGCGCCGAAGCTGGGCTGGGAGCCGGTGTGACACCGGCCGGCTGGGGTGCGGGGAGGGAAGGAGGCTGCTGTGCGGGGCGCGCCCCTGTCTCCAGAGCCGGAGCGAGCGAAGTCTCGAAGCCCAGCCCCGCCAAATCGGAGACCTGCGGCGGGCGGGAGAGTCTCGCCAGCCCGGGGGAGGGGCCCTGCAACCCCGCCCCACCGGGAGAGCAGGTGGGGAGTGACCCCGCACCCCCTCCGGGGCGGGCGCCCGCTCCGACCGCAGCCCCATGAGCCCAGCTCTCCTCGCCCGCCTGCCAGAGAGGAGCCGCCCCCAAACTCTGGGGCAGGAGTACGCTGCTCAGCCCGGATCCCCCGCACCCTGGGACGGGCCGGAGGAGCCCAGAGCCATCGCCTGGGACTGGTCATGGGGCCATCGGACCTAGTAGGAGGTGAGTGGATCCCGTTTTGCTTTGCTCTCCTCAAGCAGAGGATCTGGGCAGAAATGACACCAGATGCTGGTTTAACAGAGGGAGGAGGCAGGGAGGGAAATCAAACGTATTTTTAAATTGGTGCTTATCAGCAAATGTAACAGTCTTGAGATCAGGGATGGCAGAAATCAAGGAAATTAAGTGAATCCCTCCCCCATAGCTCTGTTCCTTTTTCTCTAGGCATCCAGTAACTTCGTGGTTCCATGGACGTTTCCTCCCCACCAATCGCTCCTTCATGTATCTATCTGTACTTTGCATTACCACTTGCTAAATACTGTGTTTACTGTGGTCTGCAGCTTCCAGACCTTTGTGTGATTTCACCCTTTATAACGCATAGAAAAATCACTGGTGGCAGTACTGTCTGTACTGAAAGACTGGGGAAACCTTTCTACCTTTAATAGGACAAAACTGAATAGCACAGAAGCAACAAGTTTAGCAGGGGAGCATTTAACAACCTGCACTTCAATTTGTTGGAAATCTTGAGTCCTTTAGGGTAGTGGAGATTCAGAGACCAGTGTCCTTTGCCCTCCTGCCTGGATACAAGTGCCTGGACTCTCAGTCACATGCTGTTGGAGTAGATTATTGGTACACGCACAGTTGGTACCAAGCAACAACACCTGCCTTGAGGATTTGAATTAATTCCTCCTGCATTGTGGATTTTAATTCATTTTAAAATTACCTGCATGGCTGTCCTTCAGTGGAAGGGAATCTTGGGGATATTAGCAAGCAGGAAATCAGTTGTATGTTTTTAAAGCAAGTAATTCCCTTTATGCAGCAGTCTAATAAAATCAGACAGCATGAAACATCTGGCAAATTTTTTTTATTACCAGAAAGTAGTTTGTGTCATTAAATACATTTGTCTACACAAACCAGGCATTGATATATACAATGGTGTAAGCAGCCCAAGAGGAATTAAAAAACCATAACAGAAGGGGGAGGAAAACATCAAGGGCTGACCTTAAAACCTAGAGAAACGGAACAACTCAGAGTTAAATGCATTGCCTGTCTTTCAGGTGGCCTGCAGAACTCTGTGCCTGGCTTATGATGGTACATTCTGTTGTTGAAAGCTCCTGCGTCCCCTTAAAGATGCAGTAGAACAATTGTTCTCTACCTTTTTGGGCTCAGGACCCATGGGTAAACCTTGATAGCATGTCATGACCCAGTAAATAGTTTGTGTTTAAAAAAAAAAATCTGACTCACTAAATAATTCTTACGCACAATATGTAATATACACATTAATGCAATAAGTACTAAATAAGTACACCAAGCATATCATAGTGGCTGTGCTCAGACCTCCACACCAGGATCTGTGACCTCAGGTTTGACCCGGCCCCTGTTTGTGTTAATGGTGTTGCAACCTGGCACGTGCAATCACAACACCACTCAGTCAAATTTGGCCTGGCCAGCCCTCTTTCGTCATGGCAGAGGGGCAGCTGGGCCAAACCTGAGGGGTGCTCTGACCCTGCTTGTCAGGTCACAGCTCCCGGAGAAGGATGCTGAGCCCAGCCAGCCCTGCTGGACCAGAGCCACTGATGCAGGCTGTGTGTGGGATTGGCTTTCCTGATCCCTGCCTCCTATGCAATACTTGACACATTATAGTGACCCAGTTTTAGGTCAATGCCCTGTAGAATAAAGTGGGATTTTACTCCATCCTTAACTTCATCTATTTTGCCTATCTGTGCTGTTTCTATGGAATATAAGAGCTCTTCCTCTTGTAAGACCCTTCCAGTAAGTACATCAGTTTTCATGAATTTCTGTGCATAATCTCATCTGTTGCATCTTTATTACCACTTATTTGCAGAGTGAGATTGTGTGCAGTGATTCTTGGAGGTGCAGCACAGAGGGTTGTAGCTCATAGAGAATTGTCCAAAAGCCACCTTTGCCTCCAATTTTGTTCCCTCCTGATTCTGGTCTCATTGGGGACTGAAATGATGCCTGACATCATTTAGTTGCTGTGTTCTAAGATGCTCTAAGTTACAGAAGCCCTGACTGGCTGCCTATGGATGGCTCTGCAACCTGGCATTGGCAAGAATATCCACTCCCACTCCTCACATGCTCCTCTCACTCATAATCTATTCTTGGCACTCCTCATATGCTGGGGTTTATGAGGGGCCTGTAAGGGCAGCTCGTGGCTGTCCTACACCATTCCTGCACTGGAGGAATTCTCTTCCATCCTGCTAAGGCCTATAGCCTGTGGGAGATCCTTCTCAAAATTTCACTACAGAAAATCTTCTGAAAACCAGAATGCACAAGTGTGTTTAGAAGACATCTCTTCATGTAAAATATATATATTTGAAATATACATATTTTTATTGTCTCTAGTGCTTGGAGCAAAGGCGGTCCAAGTTTCGTTTTGGTATTTAGTAAATATCACTGACTGTTAAAAATCTTCTGAAAAAGTTGATTAAGGTGAGTATTTCTAGATTAAAGGACTCAAAATGGCTCCTTTATTTTATTTATTTATTTTTTTACAAAGTGTCTACTTTTTGTGTTCCTTTACTTGTCTATCAAAATTGCAGTACACCATAAACATGGGTAGACAAACACTGACTCTTGCAAAAAGAAGCTTTTGAGAGCAGCAGTACTGAATTGTTGCAAATAATGGCCATTTCTTGGAACAGACAATCTTCTGACTGTGAAGCTGATGGACGAAAAAATAAAATTTAGTGATGGAGAATACGAATTTTCACTGTCGACCTTTTAAACCAGCAACAGAAACTTTCAGAAGTTACCAAGGTCTGGGAATATTACTTGTCCTGCGTTCTTCACCAGTATGCTCCATTCCCGTAAGGGAATGTGTACATATCCATTTTCCAAAATGGGCAACTGAGGGACAGAAGTCAAGTGACTTTGTAAAGGGTATATGGAAGTTTGGAATGCTCTATTCTCTGAGGTGGTAGACACTGTGGCCCAGTGTGGAGGAAACATAGTTCTATCATCCAAACTGCTTCAAAGCCCTTTGTTTAGCTAGACCAAGCTCCTGTCTTAGCTACTCAGTGTGAAAGCAGAGGCGATCACTGGGGCCCAATGAAAAGGTACTATTCAGCTCAGTTTCATCTGAATGTTTGTGGTACTGCAGCCAGCATCTCACTATCTCTCCCCCCAGCCTTGCATAGTTGAGCAGGACGGTGACAAAATGGAACTGCTCAATCCTCAGGGCAGGTGAGCGACTGCCCAGTATCACCCCGCAATCCTCTCTGAAAGAAAGAAATGAAGCAACTCAGACATGACTTAGTCCAGCCCTGCCAAGGTCTGCAGAATGCTTTTGAAATCTTTGTTTAGCTTTAAAAAATAAACTGATGTCTATCTTCAAAAATCAAAGTAAAATAACAGCTGTGAATGAGTAATTTGGCTGTTGTTACTGTTTAATCACTGATATCAAATGTATTTCACTCCTTTAAAGGTCAGTTCAGTTGCAGTGAATTAAAGGCTGTGAATATTAACCATTCAGCGTAGAGAATAAAGTCTTATACCAGAGACATGCTTCTAAAGCATGACTGTTCTAAAGTTATTGTTGTCCAGTATAAGTGTTCTTTTGCTGCATTTTCTGTTTTCTGTCTACAGAAAATATATATATAGTATTCTCATCCCTAAGGATTCCAAAGCCTTTCACAAATATTATATATTTAAAAAACAACTTGTTAATGCATCATCATTAATGTTGCACAGTTAAAATGGCAAAAGTCAGGAAATGCAAAAACTGAGGTTCCAACAGCAATATTAACTTGGCTGCACTACACATCCGGTATGTTTTTATAGCATAAATTTTATGATATAAACAGGAATAGGTGGACAGCTGAACAGAACTAGCAAAACAGGAATAGAAAACCGTATGTATGGGCAGTGTGTTGGTTTTTATGTATAATCTGAAACCATCAGACCTTCAACCACACAGTGCCCCCTAACACCGTTCTGGAAAATATGTTCAGTAATGACTCAGAGGAATGTGTTACTTACTGGATTGCTGACAGTGGTTCCTGGAGCACACTGGGGTTCCTTATAAATTTGCTATCCCGGAACTGGCCAGTCTTCAATCCTGCTCAGTTTGCGAGACCAACAAGATCCTAAAAAAGGTGCTATCACTTCATCTCCAATTCCTCTCAGCCGCCAAGAAATATTACCCACTGACAGAGGTAGCAGTTCATTAGGCCAGTTCTCAGTAGATTATATGCATAAAGATGACGGGAATGCTATATTATAATTAGATAATCTGAAATGGACGCACCAACCTTATTAATAGTCTGTTATAATTTTAGAAAATGTTGTTTGATCTTAATGGACTTCATTGAATCTATGAATTACAGAGTTTAAGGCCAGAAAGTACCATTGGACTATTTAGTCTGGCCTCCTGTGTGTCACAGCCATTCAGTTTCAGCCAGTTATCCCTGTACTGAGCCCAATGTTTGCATACAGACTATCATAATCCATTCTGGAGTGTGTAATCTTTCAGCAGTAGCTCCTTGACCATAACAGGGTTGATCAGTGTGCGTGATGTTCATCTGTGATTACATTCTCTGGAAAAAGCTACCAAAATCAAATGAATGTTCACTTTTTGTTGTTAAAAGTGGCATTTAATTTAACAAGAGTTTTGTGCACTAACAAACTGACAAATCACGTCAAACCAACCTAATAGATTTCTTTGGCAGATTAACGAGCCTTGTAGATAGGGGGAAGCAGTAGATGTGATATAGCTCAACTTTAGTAAGGCTTTTGATATTTGTCCCATGTGACCTTTCATATGCAAACTAGGGAAATATAGCCTAGATGAATTCTGCTAGAAGGTGGGTGCACAACTGGTTGGAAAAGCATACTCAGACTAGTTATCAGTGGTTCACTGTCAAGATGGAAGGGCATATTGAGTGGGGTCCTGTAGGGATCTATTCTGGGTCCGATTCTATTCAATATCTTCATAAATGATTTAGACAGTGGCATAGAGAGTACACTTATAAAGTTTATGGACA